TTTTTTTTTTTTTTTTTTTTTTTTTTTATAAATCCCTTCCCAGTGATTACAAATACTGACCTGGTGACCAGCTGCAAATCTCGAACCTGTATTTTGTCTGATGAGCTATTAATCTTCTGTTAAAAAAAGAATGGGTTAAGAAGACTGCCCTGTTCCAGAGAATGTACATTTTCTGACTCTCTTGACATGTGAACAACATACCTGCTGAAGTCCCTTCATTTCCTCGGCAGTAAACTGTACTCTATGAGGATTCACCAGCTCAATTGTGAAGGGCCTTCCTGGCAACGTGCACAATGATAAAATATAGAAACATGCTGTTCTAAATTATTGTTTAGATTTGTGCATTAAGGCTGGGAGGTGTGAAAAAAAATGCCCCTCCTGCTATGCAAACATGACTAGGGCTTATGGGTTACAGGGACAGGGCCATCAGATGGCAGGAAAGAAACAAGGGACATTTTTGGCTACTAAACCTAAGCATCAGCAATAAGTGCAAATTATGGCTTCCCAGAAGGCATCTTGTACAAGTCTCTGCTAATTAAAAAATAAAATAAGAAAAAAGTTAATTAGCTTATTTTCCATCACCTACACCAATGCCCAGGTGCAAGACTATGTTAAATCCCATTCCCTCAACTAAACATCTGTTTTAATGACTGCACTTTCTGTACTTGGAGCCAAAGACAATCCCACGATATGAGAAGCCTGGAATCAAACCGCAGATCAGACAGTGTCTGGAACAGCTCTTTGGGTTTTTTTAGGGTTTTTTAAAATTGTTTTTCACTAAAGTAGCTTCTGCAAAGCTGAAAGCCAGTGGCCACTGGAAGTTCTGTCAGAACTGATTAAGTAAAAGAACCTAGTCCAGAAAGTGAAACAGGTATTTTTCCTAAATACAATGATTCAAAACAGAATTACACAACAGAAAACAGTGTAGGAATTAGTAAAACTTAATCATTTCAAATTTGGAAATGCAAAGGAAAACATTTACAAACTATTGATTTCTAAATGTTCCTATTTGTGCTGCCAAGAAAATTATGGAAAGGTCGTATTTTCATGAAAGAGCATCAGTTTCTGTTAAAGGCATACATGCCACTAAAGTTAGCAACATACAATTTTAAAGTAAAGTTGGTGTCACCAAACAGCAGTTTGTTTGGGTAGCTTTGGGGCACCAGTTTTTTGTGGGGGGGTTTCCAACCTTACCTTTGCCTAATGTTCTCACATCCACATCTTCTCTTCCAGAGGATGAAAAATTAAAACCTTTCAAAACAGAAGTTAACATGGAATGTGATTCTAAAATTGAAATGTGGACTGCCTTCTTTCTAAATCAGTTTGTAAGACTTCCAGGAAAATAATTTTAAGAAACATAGCCTGCCATATATTTCAACAAAGTTGAAAACTGAGCCCCTGATTTCTTGAAGAGAGACCTTCCTTCTGCCTGAAGGAGATGCATCACAGCTTTGACAAATAGTCTGAAAGATCAATTCAATCCTGAAAGGGATGCTCCTCCCTGGTAACCCCAGTCCCTGACCCCAGTCAAGGAGCCTGTAAAGGATCAGAGGAATTTCTGACCTCTAAAGATGTCTGCTTGTTAGCTATACACTTGGCCAAGAGGAACTTCCAGTCCATTCTTAACCCCTGTATATTGTTTCTTCCAAGACATGGATTTGATTAGCTTGATACTTAATTTACTTCCTCAGATCCTTTCTTGAGTTAACCTTGGCCCAGGCAGTAACACCTCCATCCTTGCCAGAAAGAACATGGAAAAAAAATCACTCTTTTGATATGACAATAACTTGGTGAATCTCTCTGCAGAGAACCCTGAAAGCCAGATAGGCTAATAATCTCTCTTCAGCCTGTATGGGGAAGCCAGGAGAGCTACGGCTTCCTCAGTTTTAACTGCCAGGTTTGTGAGGACCAGCATCAGTAAAAATCAGAAGCTACTTTCTTATTGGCACTGTGTCCAGTAAAAGGAGAAACATCTTTTTTCAACATTAACATCCAGGGCTTTGTACTCTACCCCTGGGGGTTCAGCATGCTGCTTAGGCCTTGTCTAGACTTATCCTGCTCTGCCCACAAACTCCTGGCAGCAGACAGCAGCCAGTTACCGATCTGCCAGAAACTGGGTAGACCCACTGGCTTCCCGAGGTTCTGCTGCAGGGCCTGTGCCATAGATCACAAAGTGCACAAAGGGAAGGCATGAGCTGTGATAAGGAATGCAGCAGCAGGAGAAGGCATGGGGGTGGCTACACGTCAGCTACCAGCTGCCAAACAGCAGCAGAAGCCTCACCCCACTTGGCAGTGATGGAAGAACTCTGCTGACTGAAAGGAGGACTCTGTTGCTACAGAGAAGCTTTGGGTGTCAATGCATTCAAAATGCTGCTTGGCAGAAATAGAGTTTAAAACCAAAATGGGCGCCCAAGAAAAAATTTAGGAGTGCCTGAGACAGACACAAGGCACCAGTCTTTCTGGATGGCAGGGAAATTCCATTTGTCATTTGACAAGTACGTTCGTGCTTAGCTCACACTGGATAGTGCAATGGGAAAGTAGGGGTACACCGACAGAGATTTTGGGGGCCAATACCAATAGCCAATTTTTAAGGAGGCATGTTGGCTGATACTGATCCAATTTTCAACATAGGTGCATGCAGTTGCTAAGTCTGTTGGGGTGGAAGGGGAGGGGGGAGGGAAGCGGTGTGGGGGGGCAGATCAAGGACCCTATGGTGAGGGAGGGAGTGGAGCTGGGGCAAGTGCTGTCCAGCCGTGGGGGAGGCAGGACATGGGATGGAGCTGTGGCTTGTCTGGGGGGCATGAGGCAGCTCCCACTGCTGTGCACACCCCAGGAAGGCAAGGGGTGGGGCGTGTACCCCCAGATCTGTGTGGGGCAGGACACAGTGGGTTGCAGCTGTGGACTGAGCTGGGAAGTGGTCAGGGTGGGCAGCA